AAACTTGCGTGCGAGATAGACACTGATCACCATATACTTCTGTCAACAAATTGTAAGTTTCAGTGGCAGATTTTCCAAGTTTTGTGAGGAATTTGATGTTAGCACGTTGTTCTGCATTAGCACTCAGCATTATTCCGACGGAGCTCAGAAACACGATCCGCTTCTAACAATGGTCGCGGCCAGACTAACCGATGCACGTGAATGAAACTTTGTGTGACGGTAGAGGGAAGTCCAAGGGTCAATGCCCTACCCTCCTCTTCGTCAATGACGTGGCCGGAAATGAGTCATAAAAGTAATCCGGGTTCTTTATTGCCACACCTTGTATTTCATTTCTGATGAAATCTGTAATATCAGGTAAAGGTAAAGCTATCCCTGTAACAGGGCATGAAGGCCCATACAGCTGCGAGACGTTGAGGCTCCAGTATTTTCTCTAGCCAACTGGCTAACAGATGGCAGTAAGGTTATCAGCCTTACACGACAGCCACCCTTTACCTCCCATGAAGATTTCTGGTGCTCATTTCTGTTAGAGGCTGAGTCAGACCCAGGGCCATAGTGCGGCTGGAAGGATTAGGTAAATTGAAAAAATCCACCTTGCTGGGACTTGAACGCGTGACCTTCCAGCTTGTAGCACAGTGCCTTAACCAACTACTCTACTATGTGCCCCCTGTGATATCAGAGGCATGAATATAAATTCAGGAAGCTTTATGAGTGCACAGAAACACATGACTGAATGAAAAGAAAAACAAGAATTCCAAATGAAGACAAATATGACCTAAAAATGCTGCCTTCTGGGATGTGGTGCCATGTAGATATTGTGTAAACTGACGTTTCAGAGGAATGTATCGCCTCCATCTTTAGGGTAGAAAAATCCATGAGCGAGGAACCAGTCTGAACATCACCTGCTGACTGCAGCCACCTGCCCACACTGGTTCTCGCTCACGGATTTTTATACCCTGAAGATGGACGCGATTCCTCCGAAATGTCAGTTTACACAATATCTACATGGCGCCACATCCCATAAGATGGCATTCTTCATAGTCACTGCCGTGAAAACTTCAAATCTTACAAAAATTACCTAACTTCTTCACCAGCAAATTCAAACACCTTGGTGATGGTAACCTTGTTCTCTTTCTGGAAACTCTTCTGTAATTCTTTTATTGTAGGAGATTCTTCTTTTTTGTTTCCATTGGTCATGGCTGGCTTTGAGCAGTTTACTGAGCCTCCTGTATCCTTCAAGAAAGCTAGAACATATGTCAAGAACTAAAATAATAAAAAGAAACATTTACACTGTGAACAAGGGGTTGTTGTAAAGCAAAACGAGTAAAGCCTAATTTCCTATGTACCAACTCTCTTCCTATCAATCTAATGTTATATTTACGTAAATTCACAATCTTAAAATAAAACAAAATTTAGAGAATTGATTACTGTGCTGAGCTTGCAAGCAGTTAGTCACAAGATTCAACCTTACCCATGCCAGTATTTTGTTACTTGCAACTGTAAATAACTCATACACATACCAAGTAGGCTGGTAGGCCATGCCATAGTTCAAGCGGTTAGTCGCTGGCTTCCCACTGCGGCAGCCCAGGTTCGATCCTGGGTCTGGTCAAATGGGATATGTGGTGGACAAAGTGGCGCTGGGGCAGGTTTTCTCCGAGTACTTCAGTTTCCCCTGTCAATTTTCATTCCACCAAATTCTCCATCATAATCACCTGGGGCAGGCTACAATAGGCCAATCAGTGGCCACCATGCTGAGTGGACCCAGTTTGACTCCACCCCCCACTAAGCGAATTAAAAAAAAAAGCAGGTTGGTACAGGGGTAATATTCTACAATTGTATTTGGGATGTCTGAATCTCAGCATTCCAGAGTATTAGGTAGGCCGCACACTGGCATTCATCAAGACATGACGCAAAGAAAGGAGCACAGTTGAAACGAATGAGATTATGAAAACCGCCACACATTGGTCTGAGTCATGATGCTGACGAATCACGTACAAAGCAAGACTGCATCTTTTGTCTCATGTCTTGATGCTTGTCTTGACGCAACTGATGTGTGGCTGCCCTTACTGTTACTACTGAAGTGTGGATTTTGACTGTGTTCAATTTGTCAAATATAACCTCAAATCCACAACCATACCTGACCAAAGAGAGTCAGCTTTCTTCTTTTCCTCTTCTTCAGTAAGAACTTTCTGCTCTTCAGAAATTTCCTCCTCAGTCTCTGGTTCCTTTACTGTTGAGTTCTGAATATGTTTTCTACAAATGTTGCAACAGATAAAAGATTTTATAATGAAATTTCAGTCTTTCAGGTCCTGCCATCATTTACATAAATTAGTATGACTGTATAGTTCTAAAACACTTAAACTAATATCACAAATATCTTTGCTTTAGAAGTATATGAAGTTTTCTTTCCTTAAAAGTACAAAGGCATACTGAAAACTAAAAAATTGTACCAGTCTCCAATCTTCAAAGTTTTCAATGAAAGGTTCAAGAATATTTCGCTTACCTGCCACTTTTCACTTTTTTCTTCTTTTTGCCACAAGATTTTTTATGTTTTCTTTTTCCACTCTCTGCAGATTCTTCAGTGTCGCTCTGTCCTTCATAATTTTCATCACCTTGATTGCCTTCTGATTCTTCTTCAGATGGTGGATCACTGTCTGCTCCTTGAATACAAACCATTCAATTTCCCTTTCATATTCTTTATATGTTTATTTTAAAAGAATATTTTGACAAGTACAGTATTTAATTAAATTATGAACTGCTTAACTGTGGTTGTTAACAAAGTGTTTCAGTTCAACACCATGGAATAGTATGTAATTTTGTCTACTCAAACCACATTTAAAATTAAATGAAAGATCTGAAAATAGAAGCCAAAATCAATCATTACACTTTTGTATGTGTAATTAACATCTATTGTCAAGAGTAAATGTAAAGTTGTCCCTGTGTGAAATTAAGCCTCATGCCATGAAGATATGTGGAACTGGAAATACTGTTCCATACATTTTTAACCTCAGCAATACCTGGATGTGGTCAGTTTCATGCCCTGGCTGCCTTATCACAAAACGAGAACCCAGTACCTACTTTAATTTACCAACTTTCCTTAATTTGTAAAATTAACAGCACCTTTATACATACCAGAGGGCACATAATCTCCATCACTCTCATCACTGTCTGAAGGTAATTCCCGCTCATCCATTGCCCTTGAAATAAAGTTTTTAATAGTATTACTCATGTGACATACAACTAATAGATCATAATTCAAGGTAAAGTTGTCTCTGTACTTAATTACGCACTACGTCATGAAGGCGTATGGGGAAGTGGATGTATAGATCCACATTTCCTAGACCCCGGCATTATTTGGAGGTACGTGGTCGGCTTCACGCCCCGGTCGTTTTACCCCCTGGGAAGGAGCCCTCGGTACCCACTGCATAGGAGGCTGAGTGGGCCCTAGAACTGGTCTGGACAACGTGGAGAAGATAAAATTCTTGACCCTATCGTGCCCCGAACCCCGACCCCTCCATCGTCTTGCCCGTAGCCAGCCGCTATATAGACCAACACCGACTGCGCTTACCCTGCTCGTAATAAAATATTGTTACAAACGAAAAACTACAAATGCGCGGTTGTCATGTTGGCATTCCTGTTTCCTACGTACTTGTTCTGTAAGGTTAACATTGTGATACAGTTTTATGCATCACAAAAGTAAAAAACGACCATAATAAACGATAATACAAAAGTATATAACATTTGAATTTTAAAATTAATGACAACGTTACCTCAAATTCCGTACATAAAGCAGTGTTCACGATTACAATAGAGCTACTTTCCACAACTTCGTACCTGCGTTTCTACTTCGTCTGACACTGCGCCGGTTCTGTCGTCAATTGTTCTCTAGCAGAAGCTCTTCTCTTGTAGAATGTGGAGGAAAGACGAGGAAATGTTTCGTTTGATATTATTATGGTGACAGCGATCAAACATAAGTTAATTGCAATGTTTTGCGCACTTGTAAGGTAAGAAGGATTTACATTAAAATTGTCGATGATCCCTGTGTTTTTATATGTACAAAATTAAATGCTAGTTTAACAACTAAATTGTCGTGTCAGCACAGTATTTTACCTATATTTACACTTACCAGTCGGTAAGTGAGTTAATTACATTTTTGAATGGCACATTTTCATAATAACTGGCTCTGTGCTTCATGGTGTTTTTTTTTTCATCTTTGCATTACAATTGTTTGCTGTTATATTTCAGGACTTCACAATTACATCCCCTAATGATCTATTGCAATGGAATAATTAGAACAACATGTATATTGCACGTGAATGATTCAGATGTGGAATAAATATTTCTCGACTGGCATTGCACCCCTACCAGAATGTACTATGCTGCAAAAGAATTCCAGACATCAGAGTTGGATACAGTTGCAAATGTGATTGGTCTCACTCCATCAGATCCTCTAAATACCTTTGCAGGCAAGTATATGTCTGGCAGGTCCATCATTTCTGATAAGACTTATGTGTGCTGTTGATGTAGGCTTACTCGTTATATATTATCTGCTATCCTTCTTTGATATTTGATTTTGAACAAGAACACTGCATTAAAATGTGGGGGGCCAACTTAAAAATATAAGGAGCATACATGTGTGCACGTATATTGTCACATTTTTGGGGGTGTGGCTACAGATGGGGTATGGATTGATGAATGGATTTATTGACCACTTGCATACACTACATACTTTTTACAATTTCATTTCATTTATTCACTTTCCACAAATCCTGTCGAGAATACATTCTCATGCGGATGTGGAGATCGTCCTAGTTACAGTCACAACTAAGAATTACAGTTATCATCTTATAGCATACACGTTTGTAATAAAATACTGATAAACATATACAATATAATAAATAAGTTAATTTTAGTAGTAACAGTAATGGCAAACCTTATACAATTTGTACAGTTTTATACAAGTCTATTAATTAGAAATTCGATAGTTAAAACACAATGTCATTAATGAGTTTTGTATAACATATATTAATAGTACAATAAATTGAAATAAAGACTGGTATACAGTGATATAAAGATTGTGTATATCTAAAATAAGCAACTAAAAACCAGAACACAGACTGACAGTCTTGTCTTCTTTTAATTGTAAAGCAAGACAGCTACTTGCATCTTAAAAAGATTTATAACCGAAATATTCCTGTAAAAAAAAAATGTAATTGTAAAAATTGTTTCAGTTTGTACCTCAAAACTCTTAGTGTCACTCAGTATATCCTTAATATGTTGTGGTAGATTATTATAGACCTTTGTTCCTAAACAATAAACTCTCTTTTGGTATTTACTCAAATTTACAAGAGGCTGATGGAGATTATTTTGCTCTCTGGTATTTATTCTATGAATCTCTGAATTTACTATGAATTTGTTTTTGTTTGTTATCACACAAAGAGCAAAAGAGATAGTATGTACTGAGATGCCAGAGGTAAGATTTCTAATCCTCTAAATAAGTTTCTGCACGAATCCCTTCTTCTGCATCCCAACGTAATTCTAATTATATTCTTTTACATTCTAAAAATTTTTATACTCACCCCAAAAGGGTAAACCATAATTTATAATAGAATTAAAATAAGAGTGATAAACCATTTTTATCACAAATCACTGACACACTCAGACTAGTGTACTCAGTCTATTATAGTCTCCACTATCCTGGCAGTGGCTTTAACACATTGGAGGTTATTTAGGTTCCCATGCGCAGGTCTGCTTGTCACAGCCATTTGTGCAGAATTCTTGTCAACTGACAACCTAACTAACTGGGTCCCAGGCTGGTCGCACCAACCTTGTAGTCTTCGCTTCACAGGCTGACTTTCAACTGACAATTGAATTCTTACCACCCGCCAACCAGCTACTTAATGTCACTTCATTCAACTGAACAACTGAAAACTGACTACTACAGAACTAGAGTGACCCTGCTTATAACATTACAGTACAAACCACATAGAAAATGCCGTATCCAGTATTATAGCCCAATAGTACCTCAACCATTGCTTATAAACAGGTGTTTGTTTTATTCACCTATTGCATAGCTATTGCTGTTTACAAAGTTACCACTTAGGTACATGTCTGTACTCCACAATGTGTTGGAAGTTAAGATTTATTTATAGTTACTAGATCTAAAAGAAAATTTTGGTTTTATTTGTGGTTACTGGGTAAAATAAAGTTTCCCCTGTGCATAAGCACCACACCACAAAGGCATAGTATAGAAGACACGAGATGAAGATCCATATATTGAGGACCTCAGGGTTAGATGAAGGCAAGCAGTCAACAGTGCACTCTGGCCTCTGTAACACCAGGGAAAACACCTGAGTATGCATTGAATAAAGTCTGAATGGTCCCCAGAGCTGGTCTGGATGTGGTGGCAAGAGAAAAAACCCTGACTTTGCCAGTCTTCAAGCTCACAGCCAGTCACTACTGACTGAGTTATCTCAAATCATTTGTCATTACCAGCCAAACGCAAACCACTTGAACTTACATAATGCAAGTGGTCATCACACTGTACAGATATTGCGTTTAGATTTTTTTTTTTAAGTAGAATCAAATATTTAGATTGTGGAAACACTAGTGTTTATTGTTCTTTCAGAAATGTGGTATCAAGTATTCCTGTGGGCTCTGTTTTCTTCCATATTTGTTCATGTGATTGCTGCTGCCATAGCCTTTGCAACCCTCAGGAAACACAGGTTTGGAAAGTGAGTATCATGATAGTGTTAGATTCTAAAGGGTTCTGACGATGGTGAATGACACAAAGAATTACTAGTTTTTGGACTTTTTCCATCATCCGGAATCCTAGGTAATCCAGTGATTGAGATGAGCTCTTTCTAAGGGGCCCAACTGAGTAGGTGTCTTCCTTTTTCTCCTGAAGATGGAAACAGATCCAGTTTCTGAAATGTTGTGTCCTCTATTACCTAGGGCAATGGAAAAGTCCAAAAACCTAGTAATTCTATGATAGTGTTAGTTTATGTTTCACTTAAAGACATGAAAGTTATGAATATGTTTAAGATTAACTGTTAACACTTTGCGGACTGGCAATTAAATATTTAAATCACCCTGGGGACCGGCATTTTTATACCTACTACCCTAACTTTTGCACTGTTCACTTTAAAAATTAATATAAAATCTCCTAATTAATTTTATGAACTAAAATTTTTGGAGAACACTTACCAGTGCTCCTAGAAGTGCTTGAGAGTGTGATATTTCTGGAAACATTCCCCTTTGTGAAGTGGCATTACACACTTGCAAATGTAGACAGTCATAGTCCTTTTTTTGTGAACTGCGCAAACATGGCATTGCCTAGAAGGATGCTTCCCCTTGGAATGTTCACTCTTCACAGTTTTCATGAGGGTATGTTTCCGCATATCACCCGAGAGTCACCCAGGGGTGTCCACATGAGGCCTGCGTGTGGTGGGAGTTGATGGGCTAGGTCGCACTAAGTCTGTCTGACTCTGGTTCTGCCGCCACCATCTGGTCTATAGCCCAAGCCTTTGCCACATTCATCAGAAATGCTTTGTATTTCAATTTAGAATCAGGGTTTAGATTTTTGTAAACCAAAAATGAATTGAAAATGGCACAATTTATAAGCCACAATGCAACTTTCACTTTTATTATCTGTGGCCACAATTCATTGTTGACCCCTGTCACTTCCACTGTCTGAGTCACTAATCACTACTCCTCCACAAGGCACATCAGATAGCTCCATAAACAAGTCAGAGAGATCCCTTGCCTTCAACTGCTTTTGTCCTTGAAACATATTCCCCTCTACTAACTTCCTGCCTGGTACATAAACTGCTGGAAGGAACAAAGTTTATTTTCTTTTGGAGTAGGGACCCTAGCCAGCCAGGTCAAGTGACTGAATACCTAGCATACATTCCGAAGATTTATTACACAGTATTCAGTGCAGTGGTGTGGCGCCAGAGCAAGGTATAGTGTGTTTCAACATAACGTGTCCTAAAGTCATAATAATGTGCCACTGGTCCACCACGTTTAAAAGCGAAAAACCTTTTAAAGGGCGCGCGGTCCACAAAGTGTTAAGAACTGTAGAGTTGCAGTAGCTCAGGCAGTAAAATTAATATGTGTGGGATGGATGGTCAGGGTTTGATTCCTTCATGGAACAGGGATTTGTCTCTCTGTTGTCACATTCATTCTGGCTCTGGTTTCTTCCACTGCCTGTCAGTTGGTGTCAGTGAATTGTTTTATCAGTGTTCTCCCATTATTTTTCCTGAATGGCTTCAGCCTGACATTCATATTCATATTTAATGTGTCTTCCAGAGATCTATGTACATAGATACAGAATCCATCATCACATTACACTAGATAACAAAATAACAATAAGATATTTAATCATACAATATAAATCCGACTAGATATCACAAAGTATAAAACATACATATGTGTCTATGATAGGCCACATATAATGTATCACTCACTATGCAAGGTAACACTATAATAAAATAATTGATCATACAATGTAAATCCGACTGTACATCTATTTCACAATAACAATCCTTTATGTACAAAATATAAAACATTCACATACATCTACAATAGGCCACATATTTTGTATATCACTATTATCATCATAATACAGTGGAACCTCGCTTAACGAGCATAATTTGTTCCAGAATCTTACTCGTAATGCGAAACAATTTTTCCCATATAAATTAATGTAAAATACGATAATGCGTTGCATGCTGAAAAAAGTACTCAACAAATTTTATGTATAACGTTTATTCAAAGAAAATTATACAGGGTGTCCCAGGAGGAATGTGCCAAACTTCGGGAGGGTGTTCCTTATGTTAAAGTATGCTGATATAACCCAAAACACCTATGTCCAAAGTTGAACGGTTACGGAGATAATGGCCAGAGAAGTGTCAAACTTTGACCGGGGTTACACACTTGTTGATTACAAAATAGATATTAAAACTGGCAGGAATATGTGGATTCTGTAATGTTAATAATGTACGTAACATCAAACCAACTTGTGAGTGACGGAAAGCCATAAAATTGAAGTACAAAATACTCGCTCGCCATGTCATAATTGTCCTTAGGTTTCCAAGCAGTATACATAACACATGACTGGCGTGCGATGACGTAATATGGCTGCGCTATGAGCCGACCACATAACTCTTATTATACCTACATTCACGGATAATCTCTTTTGGAATTTCGTTTCCATTATCTCATGTGGATTATTATGGGACCACGTATGCACATTTTGTAAATTATTTACACCGTCCAGGGTAAAAGACGCCTCATCACTACACATGACACATGAATGGCAAGCGCTGGTGTAACATGACTGACTGCATATTCTGCTATAAGCCAACTACATAAGTATTAAAATACAGTACCTGCTTTATAGTAATTGTTCAAAGTGTCCTCCGCCAGCTGCAATGCAGTTTTCGGCACGCATCATGAGGGATTGGGTAGCAGAAGCAATGTTGCCTGAATGGTGACGTATGTGCTCTGCCGCTGCAAAAATACGATTCCGCAGTGCTTCTCGGGAATCGACCTTAGTTTCGTAGACTAAGGTCTTCATGTGGCCCCAGAGGTAATAATCTAGAGGCGTAAGATCTGGCGACCTCGGTGGCCATGCAATGGGACCACCACGACCTATCCAGCGGTTAGGGAAGGATTCATCTAAGTAGTGTCTCACGTGCTGAGTATAATGTGGAGGAGCCCCATCATGTTGGAAGTACATTTTCCTCCTTATCGTTAACGGGATGTCTTCCAACAAACATGGTAACTCATTCCTTAGGAAGGCTCCATACGTGTTTCCAGTTAAATTGTTGTGAAACACAAAAGGTCCGATCAACCTGTTCCCAAGCACACCACACCATACATTCACAGAAAATCTCTTTTGGAATTTCGTTTCCATTATCTCATGTGGATTATTATGGGACCACGTATGAATATTTCGTAAATTATTTACACCGTCCCGGGTAAACGACGCCTCATCACTGAATAAAATGACGCTTAACAGTTCGGGATGAGCTTTTATCCAGTGGCAGAAATCCATACGCTGAGCATGGTCGCCTGGTTCCAGATGTTGTACCCTTTGATCATGGTAAGGATACAGGTCTTCGTCATGTAAAGTTCGCCACACCTGCATACGTGATACGCCGATGCGAGAGGCCATTCTACGAGTGGAGAGACGCGGACTTCTATCAATCATGCGAAGAATGTTCTCTCGTGTGTTTCTCATTTGTACATCCTCCCTTTCCGACTGCACAGAAACACTCGGAAGAGAACCAGTCTCACGCAATGTCTGGTGAATTCGCGTAAATACACTTCGAGATGGAATCCTTCGATCGGGAAAACGCCTTTGGTACTCTTCAACAGCAGCACGTGCATTGCCACCGCAAAATCCATACACAAAATGCATATCACAATACTCGACGTGTGAAAACACAAAAGGCATTTCAGCAACTCATCACACAACTAATTTACCACCCATTCACGACCCCACCGCAACGTAATCTGTAGGCAGCGCATGAGCTTACGCTAGTGTGACTCGCGGCACTCAAGGACAAACAGATAAGGGTCTCAGCTGACAGGTACGTATAGTGCGTGGACCTGCAAGAAGACCACACTTTTCTCGGGCCATTATCTCCGTAACCGTTCAACTTTGGACATAGGTGTTTTGGGTTATATCGGCATACTTTAACATAAGGAACACCCTCCCGAAGTTTGGCACATTCCTCCTGGGACACCCTGTATATACATTGTTAAGGAGCATGAATCATCTTCATCTTTTCTTCCCTGCGGAATGAACCAACCTGGAATGTGAATTCAATTTGCAGAAAACAAAAAATCGAAATAATTAGTTTATTATTTATGATACATATCTAATTCTTTTTTACTAGAAAGCTGTCTAGAGACATTTGTTTTTGCTGATGCTTCAAAATTTGGCAAAAATGCGACACAGCATTATCATTAAATAAATTTGTAGCGCGCATAACCACTGCCTTATTAGGGTGATGCTTCTCAGTGTACAATGCAACAGTTTCCCATGCTTTCAGCATTTCTCTTATTGCGCCAGAAGATTGTTGCTTTGCTGTTACCTCCTCCTCCTCTGACAAACTCTCCTCCACAACTTTAGAAAAATGTGTGATCACAAGCGACACTAAGATGCTAGCGGAACGAGTGCTAAACACAGACTGATGTAGCAAGTGCACAATCCGGGACGTCCCCTCTTGTCACTCATTATGCGAAATGTCGCTCATTAAGCGAGTCATTTTTTACAATTTGTTTTGCTCGTTATGTGAATTACTCATTATGAGAGGTGCTCGTTAAGCGAGGTTCCACTGTACGTGGCTTAATTATAAAATCTTACTATTTTAATCCTATTTCTAGTCATGTTTCAATTAAAAAAATTCCTCAGTGGTATAAAAGGAATTCTGTAATAAGAATGTTGTCAACTTAGATTTAACACTCTTTGTATCGTTAAACATAGACTTAATTTCAGTCGCAGATGGTTGAAGATCTTTACTCCCATATCGCATATTCCTTTTTGGAAAAGTGTAAGTTAGTTTGGGGGTAGTACTGATCATAGATAGATCTGGTATTAAATTTATATACTTGGGAGTTAAATTTAAATAATTCCCTATTTGTTACGATAAACATATAGATTGATAAAATATACTGTGCTTGTAAGGGGAGGATACCCAATTCTCTGAATAAACTATGACATGATGCTCTTACTTATTTATTGTTTACATGCTATTAGCATTTATTCCTTCTTTGGCCATAAGACAAACTTTTTTTTCTATCATCCATTGTTTCCATTTTATTTGCAAATTGATTCCATGTCTCCTATAATTGAGATCAGTTGATGGACATGTAGCTATTTACTGATACTCTGTGTGTGTGCAGTCATTCAAAGCGAGTTGTATCTTCTGTACAGTTTATCCTTTCCACTGATTATATTTTATTTTAAATGTTCATAATTCTACATCACTGCATATGAAACACTGTGGTGTATTATGTACTCTACATATACCGGTGTATGTGTGTGCAAATTAAGTTCCATGAGAATGGTGGCTATTATTCATGACTTGTTATATGTGCTATTGTAAAAATAGTGTACCCTTTTAAAAATATTGCAAGAAACTAATGGTCCTATAAATGTTGCATTAATATCAACAGATACAATACAAACATTATGAGCTTGATTTGTTTCATTCTGGTCCGTCACACTAACAATTACAAATATAAATCACTCCGTCCAATGTGACCTGTAAGTTCTTCACTACATGAAAACTTAACACACTTACATGTTTCGGTCTCTGTGGACCATTTTCAGAGGGCAAACATCACTACAAATAGGAAACCACCATCACATAAGTTGTTTAGATGTAAAGTACGTACACTTATATGCTACAATGCATAGTACACAAAATAGAACATTTCACAAACACAGCAGTTTCCTGGGAATGTAAAGTTTTTAAAAAATTATATAAAATTTCTTGATGCTAATTAAAAAAAATTTTTTTTTGTATTGTAATAATTAAAATTCGTAAACCATGCAGGCTCATGTTCATCCTCCCATCGTCCCTCTTGTATGGGGCAGATATTGTGCCACCTGTCTATCTTGATGTGGAGGTTCTGCAGATTAGCATCAAGAAATTTTATATAATTTTTTAAAAACTTTACATTCCCAGGAAACTGCTGTGTTTGTGAAATGTTCTATTTTGTGTACTATGCATTGTAGCATATAAGTGTACGTACTTTACGTCTAAACAACTTATGTGATGGTGGTTTCCTATTTGTAGTGATATTTGCCCTCTGAAGATGGTCCGCAGAGACCGAAACATGTAAGGGTGTTAAGTTTTCATGTAGTAAAGAACTTACAGGTCACATTGGACGGAGTGATTTATATTTGTAATTATGAGCTTAGTAAGTAATTCTGATAACATCCAAGTGAATATGCTGTCATCCCAAACTTTTCAGCAGGTTTCTTGGTCAATTGGTGCATTGGCTTCACAGATTTGATGTTTCAGACCATGAAGGCCATTTGGGAATGATGGGACATGATTTTTAACATAAACCATAGAAACATTCATACAACTTGCATCTTTAGATGTAAGATGTTAACGGTTTATGGCTTTTGTGGAAAATATGTTCCAGGAACTGCAGTGATACTCCCGTTTAAGGTTTCTTTAATGACAGTAGATTTGAACACTGCACTGAGGAAAATTTGAAATTGAAGAAATTTAGCACCAAAATTATTGATTTCGATCATAGAAATGGAGTGTTAAATGAGGGGAAACCTTAACAAAACGTGAAATGGGAGATGCGCTGCATTTAAATTCTGTTAGGAGTGTCTTAAATGGAATTTTCTCAACATAAATCACTTGCAACATTAACAAAAATTATCTCTTTTTAGTTACTGTTTTAGTTAACTTTTATAGTGTTAGTAGTTCGACGTACATCGAAAAGCACCTGAAGATGGCACTTTAGTGCCGAAACATGTAGTGCAAGAGAGAAGAGTAAGGTGAATAAATGTATGCACTGTAAGACGGTCAGAATAAATCATGGACATAACTTTTATAGGACAATTATTTTCTTGACAGTAAATATTTAAAAGTGTGTACATTCGTCATAGCCCTGTAATTATTATTGCCATTATTTGAACTTACAGACAGCATTTTAATTGTTGAAGGTTTTTCCCCATTTTCATCCTTGTGATGGGAGTGTTGGCTCCACTGACCTCAGGCGTGGTAAGCAGCGCAGCAGTGGCTTTTGTGTATAGAGCTTCCAGTTTTCAGATGGAACCACTGTATGCATTGATCTGGGGAGTGGGACAGACATTCTTGGCTGCATGCATTGGGTTCACTCGGATACTGGCTACTTTATAACACTCCTTCCATGAAATAAACAACTGTTGAAGAAGAATATCAACTCACTTTTTCATAAGTCCTCATATTTTCTAGCTCTCTCATTTCATTATTTTTACTACAGAAATGCATCTGGAAAAACTGCTCTGGTCTCTGAAAGTTGTATGCTTTTGATTTACTGTGCTAGTGTTATCTTTAGTATTAGAGTTTTGACCCAGAATGCATCATTTCCAGACAGAATACACTGAGCTCAACACACTAGTCATATTAGAGTCCCTCACAATATGGTTGTAAATATCTATGTGGATTTGAGTTGATCCTTATTTATATAGATTTACATAAAATTAGTGATTTTTTGTCTCTCTTTCATTGTGGTATACACAGTTGTCGTTCCAGTTATCTTGATTTTAAACTTAGAGGCAGCTTACTGCCAGATTGTAACACATTCACTGCTTGCATGTCATGTTGCCGTGACCCTGCTGTATACTAGGTAGACATTCTGAAGTGCTGTGGACTTTATTATTTTGTCACGCTTCTAGCATTCTGTGAAAGGACAAGATTTTATAAAGAGGACAGTGGAGGCTTCTGCTGTCTCCAACAGTTTCTCGCTAATTAATCAGAAATAATACAAATTTTCAGTCCTTATTATACAAGCTAGGAGTCAGGATAGGTTATTCGGTATAGGAACAAGCTATGGTTGGACAACCTGGCTTTGATTCCTGGCAGTGCCAGATTTTTCTCTTCTTCACAGTGTCCAGATGAACTCTGGGGCCCATCCATCATCTTATCCAGTGGGTACCAGGGGCTCTTTCCCGGGGAAGGGGGGTAAACCGGCGGGGTCGTGAAGCTGACCACCCACCTCCATCTAGTGCTGAGGTTAAGAAAGGTGGAGCTATACCATACATCTTCATAGCATTGTACTTAATTAAGCACAGGGACAACTTAACCATTATACAAGCTGTTCTAGTACCTAAAATGGCTTCTTGCAGAAATAGGCATGTGAGTTTAAATTTCTTCATGTATGTAATGCAGTATCTGTAATGAATGTGGACTGAAGTGTTACAAGCAACAATGTTTAACTTAGTATTACTGGGTGCAGTAGTCTGTAAGAACCTTCTGCATAATTTGTCTGTATTTTTGCCCAATACACAAGTTTCAGGGCAGCAGTGAATGGGTTAGCGTGGGCAGTTGGTGCAGTGAATCTGAATTTCACTTCAGTATATGTTCTCATATGAAGTATAATAGCACAAAATATAATCCAGTCCATTTGCTCTTAGAGTACTTATGATTCATTCATATGGCTTGCCTTCATGAATTATGTATATATTTAGAAAGGAGCATGTAAATATGTACTAAGTTTGTAACATATTTTTGTGAATATAAGTAGTCATTCATGTTAGTAAGGAAAGTATTATGGGTATTTTTGTTTGAAGGTGGGGATGGGTACACAATACTTGATTGTATATAAATTAATGTAATTTGCATTACATTTTAAGACCTTACGGATGGTGGCTAGTGATGTTTTATCATTATTGTCAGATACTGCAGGAAATGTGGTTAGTAAAATGATCAAGGCACTGAGCTGTTTCTTTCCAATGCCTTCAGTTCTGACTGATTTAAGGGCAGCTTAGATAATGAGCAGTGACTTACAGAAAGCTGATAGAAGTACTTCTTAGTAAATTGTTAGCTTGGTGGAAAAGTAGGAGGACACTTGTAGATCTCGGATAGTACAAGTGTATTTTGTATATAACATGATGAAACACCACTATATATATAAACTTTGGTTAAACACACTACAGGATTAATTTTGGAATAGAGACTTTGAAGTATACAAGAATGTGATTTATGCTGGTTCAAGGACAATTGCTAGTAATGGCATTACACAACTGTAATTAAAAATGACTGTTACAGATAAATTATTTCATGTTATTTAAGTCCAGTATAGTGGGAAATGTAAATGAAAGTGTATATTTACTGAGAGCTAACCAGGGGCTATATATTTTACAAATATGGGACATTTTTTCGATATTGTTACGATAAGTTTTTATAAACTTTCTGTGGTGATTAATTACATATGAGGGAAATATGCTGAACATTTTCAGCATATATTTATAAATAAAACACAATTGAATATTTGTTCATTTTTTAAAACTATTTCACATATGTGTTATGCCAGAACCTATACAGGGTGATTCAGGTGTATTCAAGAGAACTTAACAGGTGCATCATTCCTTACCTCTTTGGTCTCTTCCTTTCATCTGCAGTCCTATAAACAGTCCTGTCATCAAAATCATCAGAGGGAATTTAAAAATACTAGCATTCATTTCAGGTCATAAAGTTATTACCATTAGTTTTTTAATTTTATACATGATACATATTGTGCATTCACTTAATTAATGTAACAACAGCATACAGAAACAGCAAATTACCAAAATTAGGAATGATGTTTCATTTCATTTAATTTTTATTTGGCATTCAAAATTGCTACACCAGTAACTCTTGAACAAGTCACATCATTAAATACATCATTCTTGAAATCCTTTTGCCCAAATGCCTAAAGGATTAGAATCTGTCAACAATATATAATCACACTTGACATGGTTAAACCTACAATTAAGCACACACTATCAAACCAGATAATCAAATTAGGTACAATATGTAAATCAAAATGCAAGCCAACCTTCTGAGTTCATCAAGAGAATTTTAAGAGTATTACATTAAATCAAGAGTCCTACATATGACCATGTCAATCAAAGAACACATTAAGATACTGCAAGCAACCATTTCTTATCTATTTCCATTGCCGAATAGAGGTTTTGCTATGCTCACTACTGTCCCTCTAAGAGGAATTCACACTCTACAGAATGGATGATCTAGTAAAAATACTTTTAGCCCATGTTTAAAGTCCTTAGATCCATCTGAGTTTCTTAATTCCAAAGGCAGTCTATTATACAATTTAATATCCATATTGATTTGGTTTGGTACAATAGAAAAGAATTTATTTGCAGACTATACAAACTTCAGAGGCCTAAGTCAGGCATGTATAACACATCATAAATTAAATACTTGTTTCAAATACAAATACATATACAGACAATAAATGATACAAACTCTGTCCCAAGTGCAAACAATATATGTCCTTGATCTTGCTCTCTATTACACTACATGTTTCGGCCTCAAACGGCCATCATCAGGTGTATACTCTCACATTGCTGTTACACTGCACTTAGCTTAAAATTTAACATTTTAAAAACACATTGTTCCTTTCCTTGTTATTATCAACATCTACTTCGCTGATATCTGTCTGATTATAGATTATTTTGCACACGTTAATTTTGATTTTCCTGTAGTAGCACTATAAAATCTTTAGTTCTAATGTTAAAATCCTTTAAAATTTAGAGAAAATTTATGGAACTTTAAGGTTCATTACTGTGCTCATAAGAGCCTGCCATTGGTCCCTGTCATGAGAGATATCAGGCCAGCCCATACTACCCCATTCTCTCTCTCCAAGATCCATTTTAATATTATCCACCCATCTGTATCTTGGTCATCTAAAACAGGGAGATGCTTTATCACTGTTACTTTTAAACTTTATTGATTGATTGATTGATTGATTTATTTCGTCACTGTAGATCATTGTACATGATATATGACAAGTCAAGTTAATTCTGAATATTTACTTTGGAATATGGCATTAGGAAGGTCCAGGAAAACCTGGTTGGACAGAAATTAAAGGGACACATCGGTTGCTGGTCTGTGTTCATGTTAATCTACTGGGTGATAACATAGATACCATAAAGAAAAATACAAGAACTTTAACTGACGCTAGTAAGGAGGTTGGTCTAGAAGTGAACACAGAGAAACCTAAGTATACGTTGGTGTCTCGTCACCAGAATGCCGGACAAAAGCCCGACAAAGATAGCTAATAGATGTTTTGAAAATGTAGCACAGTTTAGATATTTCGGAATGACTGTATCAAATCGAAACTTGATTCAGGCGGAAATTCAACACACTACTACTACTACCCAGATCGCGAATGTCACTAGAATTCCGCCGATCATCTGCTAGTCGTTTAAAAAGCGACACATAACATTACCACAGCAAAAACGTGATTCTAAGGTTAGGTGACGACTATTAAAAGAATTCGTTTTACTTAGAATCTTTTCATTAATCTATTCACGACTTCTGGCACTTATCTTAAACAGCTGTATATACAATCCTATCCGATCCTATCCAAGTAACCTGAAACATTTTACATCTCACCCCCACACCCCTCCAAGCCTCCGAGGACCTAGCACTGGACCATTCCTATCGATTCCTATCAGTTCCTATACTCCTAGATGGTTACAAACCTGCCAGCAAGGATTTCAATACGTGCAGGTATCTGCGCATACTGCTGCTGCCATCTCTACGGCGGTGGGCACACCAAGGCAAGTGGCAACGTTAACGCATACGTGATATCTAATTTCCAACTTTCAACTTTATTTTCATCCATATCTGAAGTGAATACAAATGGACATGTCAAGAAATAATAACGAATACATCACATGTGAAAGTCACATAAAATTTACACAGTGATCTATCAGTATAATACAGCAACCGTTATAAGGAACATAACAATAAAAAATACAGAAGACCAAAAGAAGAATGTCAGTAATACAAAACATGTGAACACAATATTAAAAATTGCAAACCAAAAGACAATCAACAAGCTAGTCATCAATCTAAAAATAGTTGAAAAATTCTTGAAGAGAATAGAAAGCGCTGCACAGAAAATAGTTTTTTAGTTTCCACTTAAAACATTAACATTTTTAACGCTTTAATCACTCTTAGACAGTTTCTCTGTATTTTAAATACAGTTTCGGAGTCCTTAAGCTCCCCACCCCAAAAACTAATACAATATTTCAGTGCAGATTCAAACTTAGTAAAATATACATTTCTTTACAGGTTGCCTAACTGAGTCACGTAAGGATATAAGCAAATAAAGAGCCATGTTGAGCTTTTGGCATACGTATTGAGTGTGAGTTGGCATGCTTAGATCTTCAAAGTACCCAAAAAATTTACAGTAGATGAATAAATTATTTCCTTATAATTTAAGCAAAAAAAGTCTATAGATTGGAGTAGGTCTTTTTCCCTGAAATAATATCACTTTAGTCTTATCCGTGTTNCTCCTTGACATCTGTCCGGTTTGAAGATTATTTTACACACGTTAATTTTGACGTACCTGTAATAGCACTATAAAATCTTTAGTTCTAATTTTAAAATCCTTTAAATTTTTTTCTCTAAATTTTAAATTTAAAATTGTTAGGGTTACTCGCCCTATGTCTAAAGTGCTGCAGTGGCTAGTTCTTGTTTCCACACTGTATAGGTGTTATCCTGTGTAGTCTTCCTGTGTGCGTACCGCTGTTATTCAACACACGTAGTAAAGAATAACAGCGGCATGCTGGAAACCTCTCATCTGTTCTCTTAGAAAACCCCCACCGGGATATGACGCCAGATCCAGAAGGCCACACAGGCCATGACCAACCAACATAACCACCCCCACCCCCCTCAGCTTACGGATTAGTGCCCAGCCTTTAACCTTGCCTTTCTCTCCCCTACACAAAAACCATGCTTGTCCCAGCTCCCTTCCCCTCCCACGCTACTGCTTTCACTTGTATACTTGCCGTTCCCCCTTCTCCCTCTCTGCTCTCACATAGCTGTGTATATTTCCACACAGTCTGCTTTTACCGGTTCTCACGGTCTCTCCGCTTGCAGATTTCTTATATTTTTCTTCTACCCTGAAGATG